TCAAAAACTTTTTTTTTCAAATAATTGAAACTTAAAACTTTTGGATACAATCACTACGAAAACGATGTGTGCTAAAATTTGACAGACAGTGGTTTTTTGTTTGGTCAAGAATTCAAAATATTTGAAAACATGTATTACAATGTGAAGGACTTGGCATCTTCAGCTTTTTGCTAATTAAATGCCATCTTCTATTGTTAATATCAAAATATCTCCGAACAAGGATTGATGTTGTAGGGCAATATATATATATATATATAAATAACGCTTTTATCTATTATTGCTAACTGTAATTCTTGCAGATAATGTTTGACGTATATAAGACAAGAAGAGGCTTGATTTATAGAGTAAATCAGCATGTCGATATTCTTTTTGTTACTATACAAAGAAATCTTCTATATCAAAAACTCAGATATTTCATAGTAGTATTGCATGTTTACGCTTCGAGCATTTGACATACTTCAACAGATAAACATACTATTCAACTTCCGATTATATACAATGAACTTTTCTATTAAACAACTACTCATTCAGTCTGTGTTATATGATCTCTTTTATTTTGTATAATGATTATGATGATAGAAAAATGAACATAATAGGATGTCATTAACATCTGTAAACCGAGAGATTTATATATATATGTGTATATATTATCGTTGCACAGGGCTAGTTATTGAATTTCAATTAGGAAAATATTTGAAACAAATTGCAATTGTTTTATCTACTAAATCTTTGTTATATTTGATTAAAAATATTAATTCTTCTTTTTTTTTTCGTATTCTATAGAAATTTGATCTTTTTATTATAGATCAATAAAGAACAAATAACCTTTTTCAGAATAGTTTTTCTTTGGCTCTTTTTTTATTTGTGATATAAATAACTAAATCGATTATTAAGTGTTTTTCTCTGCTGGCCTTATTTATTTAAATAGATATCATATATAACGTATGAAAAAAAAAAGAACAAGAGTATTTCTTTTCATATGTGTATTAAATACATAATAAATGTAAAATGGATTTTTATAAAAGAAAAACATAATATTCTATTGTAATTATGGTAAACATATAAGAAAATATCTAATTAAAACACGAAATAATTAGTATTCTCGCGGTAAGATATGTCGTTATATCTACCCAAAAAAAGAAGAAAAAATGAGAGAAGAAAAGCAAAAGACAAAATTGTACGAAAAAAAGAAGAAGAGAACACACTCGATATTCTGGTTACTAGTGCCAACAAAAAATTGCAGGTTCTTCTATATACAATATTATGTTAGCTTAATAATGTGGTCGAGAACAAGCATAGCACAAAAGAGACGAAGGAGATACTAGTAGCTTTGTCGTCCATCATGTTCGTTACTTAAAGAAGAAAGAAAATGCCAGAATATAGCATAAAAAAAACAAATAGGAAAAGATGCTTACGCTTCTTGCTCGCGCGTATTGATAATCTGTACAGGAATCTAAAAATGAGAGAGAATAAATATATCGTTGTTACAAATACGAATGAGATTGCCATAACCAGAAATATAGAAGAATGATGACAACGGTTAACTATGCCACATGTTGACTGCAGTCTCTTTCTAGCACAAAAAAAAAGTAAATTAAGTAGGATATCGATGATATCCAACTAAGATTGTTTTCTTATGCATCAACCGTTGGTTTGTCTTCCTTTTTTTATTCTTTTCTTGTTTATCTTATTGTGCTTTCACTTAAGACGAAGAAATAGTTCTAGTTACAAGACTTAGAAATTCTCATTTTTTTTTCTATTTCTCTAATTATTTAGTATTAATTATTTTTGCCTGAAAACGATTCACATTCTATAGTAATTTGATACATTAAATCGTCGTTTTTTCTTTTTTTTTGTTTCCTATCAAATTTTATTACTATTATCGATATCTTCATACAAACACAAAAACAAAACACTATGAGGTAAGTCGAAAAAGAAAATAAGAAAAATAAATAAAAAGAAAAAATGAATATTGAATTTTTATTTTTGAAATTAATTTGTATATCAAGTCAAAAGAAAAACCACATTTAGTTTCAGATGTCAATGAGTGCGAAATACTCAGCACAGCAGCTTATAACAATATTGATAACATTTAATTGTAACTTGTTTGGCAGCAATGACAATAGACCATATATATCTAGGAGCTACAAAAAGACTAAGAAAGATACTATTCTTTTATATACTCTCATGTAATTGGATTAAGAAAAAATAATAACCTATTAACTAAATATTCCTGCAAAGTTAACGAGTAAAATTAGCAACATAAGCCTACATTATACAAAAAATAAATAAATTTCCATTTATAAACGATTTGTCTGTTTAATTTTTAGTACATGTGGAAGATGTCAAAAATCGTTTCCAGCTGGATCTCGTGAGTTTCTTTTTTTGATTGCCTACATATTTTCTCTATTGAATTTTATTCTTAATTTTCATAGGTATTACTGAATTTGATGGCAAACAATATCATGTATATTTTCAAAAAAAATAAAAAATAAAAAAAACAAAATGAAAATTTTGTCTTATTTTATTTATTTATATTGTAGCCTGACTGTTTTTCTTGTGCTGATTGTAAAAAATCAATAACATCACAATTTTATCCGTTTAATAATGATTATTTATGTTCGGCATGTCATGAAGCACGTTTTCCACGTAAACGTTGTGGTAAATGTGGTTCATTGATAACTTCGGCTGGTATAACATTTGCTGGTGCATCATACCATGCCGCTTGTTTCTTGTGTATGTATTAGTTAAAACGAAGTTAATTGATCGTAATTGAAACCGTAGAAAATATTATTTTTTCTTCGATATAATAATATTTTTTTTTGTCTTAAGAATAATAATAATAATAATAATAATAATAATAATATGTCGAAGAAGATATTGTTGTTCTAGGTGTCACATGTAAACAACCAATATCGGCTCAATCAAAAATCTCAATGGTAGATGGTCAACCATGCTGTGTTAAATGTTATGAAGATAAACATGCTAAAAGATGTAGTCGTTGTCAAAAAGCTATTGTTGCTGATGTTGAATATCTTGAATTTGAAGATAAATATTGGCATAAAGAATGTTTTACATGTTCAAAATGCCAGGTGAAAAGAATTGTTATATATTTTCTAATCTAATCATTTGTTTTTTTTTTTTTATAGAAATGTATTGCTGAAGAAAGTTTTTATCAAGATGGAAATTTAATTTTATGCAAAGATTGCATTTAAATTAAAAAGAACAAATTAAAACAAAACATTTTTATATAACCAATAGATCATTTTCGTTTTTTATAAGCACAATGTTTTATGTGTGTTGCTTTTAAAATTCTCTGTTGCTAAAACTACTGCTTCTTTCTTTCATTCTTTTTTTTTTCTTTTCTAGTGCTACCAATTGCCTTTCTTGCTCGTCCCTGGCTATATATTTCTATTTTGACAATTTTATTATGCCTTATGAAAACAAATTTTTTTTTTTCTTCTTTAACAGAACAGTACCACAATGAGCTAATAAGACTATGTTAAAGAATAAAACAAATGAGAACAAAAGTTTTTTGTGTTTTTAATATCAGATCAAAATTCATCTTTTTCATGATGATATTTGATTTCTATAGATGGTTCTTCATGTAAATAAGTTTGATAGACTTCTTCGACATTAATACCTTCAAATTTATGAAAACTAATAGATTTTTGATGTTCAAGCCAATCTTTTGAATAAGCATTTGGTTGTGCTTGATGTAATTCAGATATATGTATTAGTGGAATATTAATACGTTTTAAACATAAACCTAAAAACATATCATCTGGTGTATCAGGCAATGGACATTGACAATTTGAAATAATCTGTCCTACAGCTTGTCGATTAAAAATCATACCAGATCCACCAGTTGGATAATCATAATAGTCACCATAACCATATCGTTCACCAAGTACAATAGGAATATCATTTGATAACATAAAACATTGAATAAGACGAAGAACTCTTTGTATTGATAAAAGTGTATCATCATCAACAATAATTAAATATTGAAAATTTTCTTTATTTTCATAGAAATAATTTAAAATTGAAAATGTTTTATGACAATGACCACGTTCAGTATTTTCTTTTAATATAATAAATCGTTCATTTTTATTATCAATTGTTTTATTTATTTCATTTGTAAATAAATTATAATTAAGTTTATCATTTAACCAAGTTTTTTTTAATAAATCAATACGTGTATTATGAAAATCAATAAAAGTTTTTATACCAATATATAAATCATCTAATTGAATATCTGTTCGTTGACATGAATAATCATATTGTCCATCAAACCATGTTAAACAATTATGTTTATATTTATTACAAAAAATATCAGATCGATCCAATAATTTAATACCTGTTAATTCATTTATTAATTGATTTAATTCATATTTAACATCAATAATAAAATCAATTTTTTTTGTATATGATTTTAAACGATCAATAAATAATGTTAAAACATGTCGTGATATTAAAATACCAGATGATAAATCTGGATATGGATTATCTAATGAAAATGAATAATGATGAATTATACTTGGTTCTAAATCATATAGACCATGACCAATATAAAAATCTTTGGATTTTTCAGCATATTTAATAAGTTCAATTAGATTCATACGTGTTTGTGGTTCACATATAAAAAGCCATTTTAATTGAGGATATTGATGAATAATTGATGAAAATATTGGATATATTGCATACCAATTTGATATTGATGATATGTATGAATGTGTATAAAGAAGTGGAATATAAGTTGGAATAAATGTTGATGCATTATGAATTTGACTTAGAATATATATATGAGATTGACTATTTATAAGAATAATAAATTCATTCGTGACTTGATTAGTTAAAGAAGAAGAAGAATAATAATAGAAAGAAAAAATTGTAAATAAAAAAAGAATATATAAAGTTTTCATAATATTTATCTAAAATAAAACATAAAGAACAAGGCGCCTATTGAATTTGCAATCAATTGTTCACTACATCATCGAATGATGTCGAAAAGTATTTATGATCGACAATTAAATATGGATTTATTTAAACGTTTACATCCAATGAATTTTACACTTGCATCAAAGCGTTCTATTAAAATTTTAGGACCAAGTTCATATAATCCAATGACTATTGATGAAATTTATTGTAAAAAATCATGTAGTAAATATGGACCTTATTATCAACAATCAAAACGATTTCCATCAATAAATCGTAAATCGAAACATTTATGTCATACACAAGTATAAAGAGTCTTGGTTTTATTAATATAATTTTAAATTATTATTATGAAATTTAGACATTAATATATGGTTTAAATAATATTCCTGATGAATTACGAAGAAAAAATGAATTTGAAAGACGTTATAATGCTATACGACTTGATCGACAGAGTAATGATATATGTCGAAAACGAAGAGAGCTTGCACCACGTGCTCCCTCTGTTACTTTATATGAAAAGTCAAGTTTTGTTGATGAACTTCAACGTAAACAAACAGGAAAGTACTATTAGGTATATTTTCAAGTCAAACTGATTTATCATTCTTTCAGATAAAAGGATTTTAAGTTGTAATGATGTATACAAAAACTAATGAGAGAGATTGTAAAACAATTTACTAACATCAGAAAATAATACATTTCTTAAAAACTAGGTCAGAATAATAGTAGACTTTAAATGTACTAAAATATAGTTCTATCATTTGTTTTAGCAAACTTATTAGAAAAAGATGAACATCGACTACATTTAAACTATTAGATTTTATATTAATTATTTCTTCTCGACTTCAACTTTGTGCTGAAGCAATCCCAAATCATCTGATAACTAAGTTTAATGATATCATTGGAAAATCTCATAAGAGATATGTAATATGATGTGAAATGTTTTCACAAGATAAGAATTCTCTAGTGGCTACATTTTAGAAGATCAAATTTCTCTTTTTCTTTTTGCATTACGTCGGAAAGTTTATCCTTACAGATTATTTATTAATAAGATATTCTTTTTTTTTCAGGAATCTATGGACCTTATGTTAAACTAGCACAAGATCATCATAGTAAAATTCTAGATTGGTACAAAGGACCAGCTCGTCTTGAAATCCAATCACCTCCATCTATTCTTGAATCTCTTTTTTCAAAACCTAATTGTTATAAAGGCAAATTTTTACCAATGCCTTCTAATCTTAATATAAATGAAAATCAAATAAAATCTTCACCCGGACCAACTACTTATTTTCAAGATTTATTTTCTCAAAGAAAATCTTCTCATATAAATCATGAAAAAAATCCATTACTCGGTTTTCTTTCATCAACGGAACGAGTTCATAAAACAAAACTTTCAATCTCACATCTAGGTCCAGCTTCATATACGCCTGATGCTTGTATTCAATTATGTTCAAAAAAAAAGAAAAAAAACAATGAAATAAATAGAAAGTTTTAATTTGACTTGCTTACTCATATTGTATATAGATTCGAAAAAAAAAAAGAAAAAAGTGAAATGATTGTCAAAAGAAATAAAACAAATAAAAAAGAAAAGAAAAGAAAATCTAATGTACACTTGATTTGCTTCCATTTGAATATGTTTCTTCAAGTTGTGTTGGTAGGAACCAATTTTCGACTAGAATATTTGAATCATCATATATGATATTTGTATTTAATAATTTTCCATTATATTTATTTAATAATAATAGTGTAAATTCATCTCGTGACATTATATTACATTTCGTAGGTATATAAAAATAATCATCACAATAACTAACAATTAAATTCATTTTTTTAGCCTGTTTAGTAAGTACGAAACGTTGTAATTGATTAAATGGTTGACATGATATAAGTTTATCATTAAAATTAAAAGATAATTGACATAAAATATTTTTTGGATCATTAAATGAAGAAATAATATTTAAAAATTTTTCTCCAATAGTTTGAATATGAAAAAAAGTAATTAATTTTAATGGACCAATTAATTTTAATATTGTTTTATTTTGATTTAAATTTGAAATTAAAGTAAATTGACAACCATAATGATAATTTTGATTTTTTTCATTTGTTTTATTTAAATAATTTTCAATTTCATTTATAAGTCGATCTAATTGATAAAATTTTGCTTCATATAATAATTGTTTTAATTCATGAAAATTTTCTGGTAAAATAAGTTTTTTCTCACGAAAATAATTTAATATATAAGAAAAATATTTTCCATCACGATCAATAAAATATTGACCATTATTATTTGTTTGATTTTTTATAATTAATGATAAATATGATTGAGAATCAATATTTTCATTTATTGTTGAACGTTTTGTTGAATAAATATAACCACCAATATTAAATGTAATAATATCATCATTATCATTTAAAATATTTTTATTCGATGATATAGATAAATATTGAGATGCTGTCATCCTACAAATATTAACATATAAGAGTGAAGAAGAATAACAAGTAGTGTTCTGTTTTTTTTTCTTTTTTTTTTTCTTCTTTTTTTTTCCGCTAGTATTGCGAAAAGCCTGCTGGTAGCAATTAGAAAAAGACCTTTGTCTTCTTTCTTCTTTTTTCTGCTCTCCTGAAAATCTATCTATTCCTATTGATCAATAATTATCAGAATAGTAGAGCATACACAAAAAAAAAACAAAACCTCAAATATCAACCAAATTTTTGCTTTTCAATAATAAAAGCAAAAAAAATTGTTACATCATAAAAATGATAGAATAATTTGGAATATGTCGTTCGGTTTTTTTTTCTTTTTTTGTTTCCTATTTCCTTATTGATGCTAATGATCAAATAATAAAATATAGTTTTAGAAACATTCGATTCAAATAAGATACTACATAACTTGCATAATCTTTCAACCAACAACGACTTGATCAAATTACGAGAAAGAAATACAAATGAATTATAAATGATGTTCAACTGTATAAATACATTGATTGACTTTTATAACACTTGATCCTCCTTTGCTCAACATATTCTTGACAAAATCTGACAATTGTCAAAATACAAGACAAAAAAAAAACAAAAAGAAAAATATTTTATACATACAAAACTATTCATCCGATATAAACAATGGTCAACTAGTTAATTTAATGAAAAGTTTAAAATACGAATGAACGAACGAATAACCTTGAAATTATTGTTGTTCTCGTAATGCCGTCGCTACTTGTAGAGTAATATATATATATATATACAAGGTCAAGTTATACATGCTCATCGTCGTATGGAAAGGAAAAGGAAATAGTAAGAGTTTTCTTGAGAATATGAGACGCGACAAATGGAATTAACAGATGGTGAAACAGGAGATAGATAATCAATGAAAAACTTCTGAGTGTCGTTTAACAAGGACATGAACAATTACAGAAAAGAGATGTCCTTAATGGAAGTGATGTCGTAATCGAAGACAATTTATTATTGTTTCACTATATATTTTGGATATATTGTTAAAGTAAATATCAGAATATAGCTTAATCAAACAAGATATATACAAATACAATTTCTTGTTCATCTTACTTGCGTCTTTTTCTTAGTATAATAATTTTAACTAAATCAATGATTGGCATTTCGTTTTATATCCTAATAAATTTTATCTTATTTATTGTATAGCATTTTGGTTTTCTTTTTTTTTTTTGTTTGTCATTGATGTCGCCAATAATTATATCTTTCGTTATACATATATAATAGAGGTCAAGGTATCGTAATCTTCGTCGGTCTATACATCCTTGTACATCATCATCATCAAGGCACAATATCACACATACACATCATCAACATGCGAAACTACACTTTTTTTTTTTATATGACAATCAGCAATAAAACAAACAAGAAGAAATAAATATATATTTAAAACTAGTTAGAAAAGAATGAAAAAAAAAAAGGAATTTATTTATCTCTGTATAAAAATAACAATACGAGACATGTTTAACGAGTTTTTTCTTTAAATATATATATTTGTGCAAATATATCATAAAATAATCATACATATATTTATATAGGAAAACTCACTAGAAAAAAATTGATCATTTTGAATTTTTTTTTAATATTCTTCATCTAAAAAAGAAAAAATTTTGTTCTATCAAACAATATCTTAAAGGATATGGTACCCATAATTTCAATTGTCCATTGAGGATATGTTTTTTTAAGAATTTCTACTGTTTTTACATGATCAGCTTCACCAAATTCCTAATCAAAAAATAAAAATTATTAAATAAAAAAAAAATTTCTTAATTAAATAAACTAACTTGTGAAGAACCATAAACTGAAATTGATCTAGTTCCAGGATCAACTTGTATTCGACCACCACCTTTACAATCTAATGTTAAACTATTTTCATCTATTTCATTTTGAATATTTTGTAATACATCAGCTAAATAAATACATATATACAATTAATAATAAATTTTATTTTATTTTTTATATTCTTACCATGATGAGCACAAGACGCATCACCACGAACAACAAATTTTGATTGACCATAAGTTGCACCACTATCTCGAACTTCAATTAATAAATATTTACAACAACCAGCTTCAGCAATATTGACATCGGGAACATGAGAAATATTGTCAATTTTACCCATTGATGTATTTGTCCAATATGGATGAAGAATATATTTTTCTTGTAAACGTTTAGCATGTTGTAAAAGTTCATTACTATTTCGACGTAAACTTAAACGTCGGGACGTTGATGATGACATCGTACTGAATATGTATATCTATATATATATATCAATGCTTTTCGTTTTTTTTTTCGGTAATGTTAAAATTAAATTTCTTCTTATTTATATCTGTCTATTTGTATCTTATGAAATCTTTTTATAGGATTAGATTAGAATAGATTTAAATAAAAATGACTCGACTATCTAATCAAACACCTACCAAAAAACATGGGATAAAATGCACACCTCTCTTTTTTTTCTAACGAGCCTCACTTCAATAACAAAAAAAAAAAAAAATATTACCTATCTCGAACCAAATAACAAAAAATATGTGTAGTTAGAAAAAAAAAATAACCGTGACAGATCTGATTGGGTGTGCATAAATATAAATATACATATGACACTACTATTAATAGCATATCGAGATTTATATATTTGTACACCATTGCAATAATTTGACATCATAGGTAATTTCATCGTATATTTTTTATTTTCTACGGCCATGGGTATCTGATTTTATTCATATTTAATGGTTTGCTGTCAATGTGTCAATCAAATACTAATTGGAACAATTTTGAATAATATATATTTGAATATAGGGTTTTTTTTTGTATTTTTCTTATGCGAAAAATAACGCATGATAATTTGCGTAAATTATCGAGTCATAAGCTATGAAGAAAATATGTACACCTGCTTTTTTTTTTGAAGCAATAAAAATACAATGATTTTTTTGAATGTTCGAAAATGCACTTTTATATCTAGTGAATGAAATACAAGAAAACAAAATGTAACTTACTCGTTTTGTTTCAATCTTAGTAGAGAATGTAATATATTTTTAATTTTTATTTAAAAAAATAGTATATATATATATGTGTATATATGCATTATCTAGAAGAATGTGCTGGAATATCTTTCATAAAATAACTGAGTCATATATTGATTTTATCAGGATATATCAAGGATAAAATTCTATAAATAGTTTAATCTGTCTATGAATATGTACTCTCGTGATCAAATGCACAGTCATACAGATTATTAATACGAGATAAACTATCTCATCTTAGTCATAAAATTATTGCCATTTCATAACATATTTAAGACATTCTTTTTTTAAAATTTATTACCAAAGCATATTATTATCAAAAAAAATTATATTTAATCTGAAATGAATAGACAAAATTCACTTTGTCCATTTAATTATCATTTCACATTCTTCATGTTTTTTCATTTTTTTTTATCAAAATATGACAAAAGAAAAATACATTAAAACAAAACAAGATATATATATATATATATATATATATTAAGTAAGTGCATCAACAAGTGAATCTTTAATTATTTTATTAGTTGTTATACCAGTCGTATTATGTTGTCCTAATTTAAATACACTTTCAATAACACTTATTTCATGTGCTGTTGTTTCTAATCCACAAAAACCCATCCAATCATTAACTAAAAGTCCAGCAGCAATAACATCACTACCACGATTAATTGTTCCAGCAACAAGCGGTACTTGTAATAATGATGATAATTCTTCTTGTTCTTGTATCGATGTTTTAGGATGTACAATTCCACCTTGATTTGAAAAAACAGAATAACTACCAACAAGAACACGATCAGCTATTGTTTGTCGAAAACATTCAACATTAAGTGTATCAGTTAAAATTTGTTCAGTTTCTTTATCTAAATCTGGATGTATAAGTGCAACATAATCATTACATGCAATAACATTTCCTAATGCTGATAAACGTTCATCACAACGTCTTAAACGAACATTATCTGGTAAAGAA